CGTCGAATTTCTTTCACATCAGAACAAAAATGAGATCTCAGTTATGGCTGTGAGCTGTTCTTCCATTATGAATGTGAACAAATCTTTCATATTGTGGGAAAAATATGATGTGTTTGCACATTCTGCTAGCACGTTAGCAGAATGTGTTATTTCGACATTCTCCTAATGTCTAAATAACACAATTACTGTGTTTGTTTCCATTAAATAAGAAATTAAAATAAAATCACATGCTTGATCACTCAATAAGACATTAAAAATCATGGCAGGCACAAATGTGAACGGTTACATGAAATATATTCAGAATTCAGCCATGGTGCTCGCACTCATCATCCATCAGCCGAATCAGAGGAGGTGTCAGTGTCGTATTTGACGTTGGAGCGACAAAGCTCTGATGCTTGGGAGCAGTGATGCATGCAGCATTTTGGGGAAATTGTAGTTGCCTGTTTCACAGAAGAGTTATGGATTCAACACGTTCAAATGTCACAAGACTTTTTATGAATTCTGCAATGCTGTGGGAGCTCTGGTGGAGCCAGCTGCACGTTGTCTTGAAAAAGTAAAAAGCCTCTTACTACTTCCTTCGTCTTTTTCGTCAACAGTAGCATCCAGCTGCTGATCACGTGACTCGGGTGATGAACAAAAAGTGTCTCCATTGAAGCTTTGCGAAATATATCTGAAAATCCGTCTCATCCTAGTGCAAAAACTTTTAGTCAAAAATGGAAATTTACTTTTGTAAATTAATTTAAGCAATTTTATGTGACCATTTCTCCTCCAGTCCTACGGAAAGATTTCAGTTTACGCTTTAAAAACCTGATGTTCCTAAAAGAACTTTAGCTGCATTATAGCTACTTCAGAACGGGGCTGCAAGGAGTGCTCACAAGGATCAGAAAGTGAGCTCACATCACACCAATTTTAAATTCTCTCCACTTGCTTCTTGTCCTCGTAAAATGTTAATTAAACTTAATTGTATTGCTTCAATTCCACTCACCCGGTTTGCCACAGTATTATTTGGAAATGAAAGCCTCTTTATCTCAGTTTGTCTCTTCAGTCAGACAGTTTACAATCATTAACAGAACTGAATGCTTTTTGACTGTGTCAGAATATTGGCACAGGGTTGCTACAGCATCAGCAACACAAGACTGATCTTAGGTCTTGTGTTTTTCTTCTCATGACCTGAGAGCAGTGGATTGATCTCAGGTCATGAGACGAGTTGAAACTGTGATTTACTGCGTCTGGATGTCAAGCTGCTGTACCTCACATGGAGTTTGCTGTATCTTTGTCTCTTAGGCTCAGACGAATCTGCTACAGGGGAACACGTCTGCACAGTATATTTGTCAGGTTTCTTCTCTTTGAACACAGACTGAAAAGAAGTCTGTGGGAGAACAATGAGGTCTTGCATTAATCGGAATCATGTGTCCATTATTTACGTTCTCCTCTTTGTCTGGTGTGTATACATCTCATTCTGTGTGTTGTAATGATAAGTCTCATTCACAAATATTGTGAATACAATTTTTTTTTCTTGCATGGCAGCAATTACACAACATTTGTACTGCACTGCTCCGCCTTGCTGTCAGCACAATAGATTGCTGTGTTAAATGTAATTATTCTGAACTTCTCTGACAAAACTTGCTTGATACACTGCTACCTTGTTTAATGTCATCCAAGGAGCTATAAATAGATAACGTACCACAAAGTGTATGGGTGCACACATGAAGTTTAACGACCATTAAAGCTGCATATCGGCAGTCTTTGAACCTAATGGGTCTCTTTCATGTCTGATGACATTTGGAGTTACCCATGCAGAGTTTTAAGAGGGACTGCATAGAATTGAAGCGTTTGATTTTTGGCATGCAAGCTGGAGCTGGTCTACTCGGATGATCTTCCTGTGCTCTTCATTTTCTTCTGACCCGTACTGTACTCTAGTTTCAAAGAAATGGCAAACTTAAAGCTGTATGGTCTGGCAAATTAATCCATTAATCTTTTTTTTAACATTTCACTCGAGATCATGCTATATTCATCCTATGTACAGAAGAAAAAAATAGCAAAGAAACTGCAAGAGGCTAATGGCATTATAATCCATCCTGCTAAATAAATAAGGCAATGAAAGTGCACAAAAAATGAACACAACACAAGAATGAGAGAATACTGTCCTTGTTAAAATAATTTCATTTGAAAAGGCACCAAAATGAGGTTTTAGTTATATGGAAAAATAGAGTCAGCAAAAGCAAGGCAGTGGCAAAAACAGTTTTATGAACTTTTTTATGGTACTAACTCGACACTGTAAAAGCTAACAGTAAACATACGGAGAGAATCATCAGAGCAGCTTATGAAAATGAGGACATTTTCAGTGTCATTGCAAGTTCATATTGGGTTTTTTGCATAAAATTATCCAAAAGTAAGTTAACAACATTATTGCAATTTTAATTATATCTTCATCTGTAACCCAGTGTACGTTCTGAAAAAGGTCGACTCTGAAACTCCTGACAAACAACCGAGCACCAGCAGTACACTGCCTGCTCATCATTTAAAATTGGCTGCGTTCCTCATTCCTCACTGGGTTTCATCATCTGTTTCAGTAGCAGGCATTAACTGGAATAATGAAATCAGTCTTTCTTTAAAATTTAAACAATTTGCAGAGAGAATAAAGAATTAAAAAAGAGAGAGGACAGATAAAATAAAAAAAAAAATAGAAAAAATTCACTAGCAACGGCCAGCTGCATCTTCTCCTGTAAAGAGATTAGTGTCCCAACTGGCTGAGCTGAACATATGGTGCTCATATGTCAACTAACAGCAAGAACACAGTACATGTATTAGCAGCTTGTTTCACTTACGCACATTAACCATTGTTCTACTCACCATGAGAAAATGTTGTAAATTTACAGCTTCCTTTAAGATTCTTTTAAAAAGTCTGTTAAAACAGCCAACAACAGGGAGACATGCCATCTACTTTCTGTACAACAGTTTAATTTCATGCACATCAGAGTTACCGTATGTATGTAAATTTTAGAGAAATAAAATTTTAGGAGCTGCCTATTTTATTCTAAGAATATTTAAATTAGAATGTCCAATATTTGGCCTAAGAGATTTAAACCGGACACAGAAGTGAACTAAGGTCCTTCTGTACTCCACATGTGTGAAGAGCGTGTCCAGTCCCAGCTCTGTGGTATCTGCGCATGATGGATGTTGGAAACCTGTCAAAGTGAAGGCGAGATGAGACTGATGTTTATCACATTGCCTTCAGGCTCAGAGTATCTATCACAGGAAAAATCTGGTAACGATGAGGAAAGTAAATCAGGCACTGGATCAATTACTTCTAACACTTCAGTGGTTAAATATTCATGTTGCTTTTATTATCCTGATCAAATTGATGTCTATCTGCTTATGAAAAAGTCAGTTAGTAGTCATTGGAGATAGCATTATTTTATAAGCTTAGAGTAAATATATTGATGTAATTTCTCTAAAAGGTTTGGATTTACTCAAACCACAAGCCTTATGTTGCCCATGTTTGACTAGACATCCTGATTTAAGATAGGATTTGGCACCCTCTACAGATCTTGAAGGCAGTATACACAAAGCTTAATTGAGGTGAATTTCCACTCTGTGAGACAATAAATGCCATATTTGTCAAACTCAAGTTCTAAATCCCGCTCGCCAGTTTTCTTTTTTGTGTGGACCTGTAGAGTGATACAAAAACAACCTTCAAAAAACAGCTGTGTGTTTAAATACTATCAATCAAATTAAAACTGTTTTTTATCTGTACTGCCAAATTGCATCTATGTGAAAAGATGTTCAGTATTATATATTTCGTGAGACACTCATTGAATGCAGAGGCAACAATTTATTAATATTTTAACAGTTTGTTCATGGGGTTCGTCAATACATTCTGTATATTTATGATCTTGATTGGTATGGCCTAAAATGAAAATAAGTTTGACACCTCTGATAGACTATTTCTATTTTATATTTAAATATAATTTCTGTGTCTTCGTGTGTTTACCATTAGCACTCTGTAATAATGGCAAGAAGCAAATCTGTTAGAGATAACTCTGCTTCATTGAAATAACAAACGAATAGTGCTGCAGTTACATGTAAGACCGCAAGAGGGCAGTGATTGAATTCAGGTTAAAAGAGTACTTTAAGGCTTAAAGCGATTTTTTCCCCCGAAAAGCTCAGTTGTAAATGTTGAAGTTTCCAAAAATAACATTCATTTCAGACCATAGAGCAAATTTTAACTAAGTTATCTTCTGATTTGAAGTTTATATGAAAATCTTTTCTGGTGTACTCACGCAGCTAATGAATCGCTGTAATGTTGAAAGGCAATTTACAATCTAGTATTTGACTAGCACTTCCTGTTTATGGAGAGCCATTTCAGATAGTCAGGACCTCTGGGAATCAGAATAAAAAGTCTTCGCAACCCGAGGATGTCCTAAAATGTACACCGTAATAGAGGTTTGACCACATTCAACTTAATTCCTGAATAACCAGCTTTGACATCAGTGAGGCATTCAATGAGATTAAACCTGCAGGTCCATTCACTTCCGTCCATCTGCGTTTCAGGCATTTATTCTGAAAGTATTTCCCTAAAACAGCAAAACTAAAAAAAAAATAAAAAAAAATAAAACAAATGGTGTGTTGCAGTTAAGATAATGACCACAAGATGGCGGCAGGAATCAGAGACTAACACCCTTTACAAGTTAGCCACTTTTGCCACAACAAATTTTGTATAGAGTCGTAAAACCTTGTATAGTTAGTTTGCTTGCTATAATGGTTTGTGAGAGAGAAAGATGTCAGATGGCAATTCAACTCATAGTGTTACTTTTTGCTGCCTTTCAGTGGTCACAATGAAGAACTGCGAAAATAATCACTTCTCGACTCATGGGACTTCAAGTACTTCCTGGTAATACTTTCACAATAAAACCACAGTTCCACTAGGAAATGTAATGATAACGTCACTTTTCCAGTCACTGCAGTTTTGCTTCGAAGGGTCATGGGTACGTGTTGCCACATCAAAATACAGCTCTTTACTGGTGGGAGTCGTCAAACAGCAGAATCCACTTAACTTTAGCGACCAGGTGTGTCTGTTCGAGCTAATACTATTCAGTACCTGAAATAAAAGACAGATAAGACGACGGCTAGTTGCTAGTTGAGCTGTTCACAGATACTTGACCCGCTAAGGTAAGAAGCTGCGCATGCTAATGAAGTCACTCGGATATATTAGCTGTCAATGTCATGTTAACAGAGTAAGTGCTGACTTCTTAAATCCAGGCCTTAAAGCCTATTTTGTTTATACTGACATGTTAGTTGTAGTGGGCTTGAGTTTAACCACCAGGATTAGCATGTTGAGACCCTAATAAGAACATTTTAGACATTTATATAGCATGTGTCGCGTAGGTAGTACCAGTAAAGTATTGAGCAACTTGATGCCTTAAAGTAAAGTTTAAAGGTTATATCAATACCATTAGTGCTGTTGATTGTTTATGCTTCTAAAATGTCTGAAATTCCTTGTGACAGAGGGCATGGAGAAGGCCAAACAAGATGCATTTGATAATGCCAGACTCCAAGTGATCAAAGATGGCTATGAAAGCGGGTTTGAGTGCATCAATAAAGGACTGTCAGCAGATGAAGCTGGGGAAAAGTCTCAGGCTCTGGAGTTCTACAAGCGAGGCCGACAGCATCTTCTCAGGGGCATCAGCGTGCCTTCTCGGGGCGAGGAGTGTGTTGGCAGCTCCTGGGAATCGGCCCAGCGAATGCAGCAGAAGATGCAGGAAACGCTGAACAACATCACCACACGCCTTGCCATGCTGGAGACCAGTTCTGACCTCGAGTCTGCACCCACACAGAGTTCCAGTGGTGCACACGTGTCTTCTGGAGGTCTCTATCCAAAGCTCGACACCAAAGCAAAGCCAGAAAGACCAGCCCCGCCATGCCTAGCCACAGGAGCTGCAAGAGGCGTAGCTGCGAGCCATACTCCGGTGGTTCCAGCTGAGCAACCACCAGCTTACTCTCCTCAGGCTGCTGATGGCCATGTCTCTATCTCTTATGGCACAGAATCAGGAGAGATGTCAGTGGTCGGGGATGATTTCTATAGTCGTACGTCTACTTCCTCGTCATCTCCTCAGAGTGTGGGTGAGGACGGGGAAGAGCTGCTTTACATCCCTAATGGTGTTCAGATATTCTTTGTCACACCCGAGGGGCAAGTAAGCGCCCCATCATACCCCGGCTACCTGCGGCTGGTAAAGTTCACCAGTGATCCCTCGGACAGGATGCCCAGTAGACCGCCAGCATTTCTGCAGGTAGGACGGAACGCCATCTTTATACAGAGCCTCAGATAATGATGATTATAGGCCACCTTCGTAGACCTGTGTGATGCAACAGGTCTAAACGACTTACTGCTGTGTCACCGTCTGATTTTAGTCCGTCTTGTGGCCTGTAATCTGACTTTAAGATGGACTCCAGATCTGTTTGACTGGGGTAGGACATTGGTTTGTTAATGATCAATATTCCTTGCCTTGTGTAAACATCATGGAGTACCTTAATCCCATTGACTATGATGTCATCCAGCAAAGAATACCAGGTCAGGATTAGACCCGTCGCACTGTTCCTAATCACTAAATGCTTTGAATCTGGGTTTTAGAGTTTTGATTACTGGTACATGGCATCCAGAGACAATGAAAAGGAATAATGCATTTAAGCAAAGCTTGGGCCTCTCGAGCCAACGTTATTGGTTTGTTTTAGTAGTTGTTTGATCTGTCGACCACTAAATTGATTTGTTTAACATGGAGGCTGTGTGTGCACACTACACCCTGATAAGACAAACTAATCAAAAGTATGTCAATAAATTAGTTTATAACTGAAAACACAGATTGAGCCAGGACAGAATAAATGTAATGTGTTAAATTATTTTTTTTTTTTTTTTTTTTTTTTTTTTTTGTCTTCCTGCTGGGTCATGAGCCTGAAATTTTCCTCTTTACTGGGGAATTTCCCCGTTGTCCTTCTGTTACACTCTGACATCAGCGATTCACATGAGTGAGGGGGAATAAACCCTGCTTATCCTGTTATGCTGTAACCTTGTTAGACATGCAGCAATCAGAAGACAGCAGTGTTCTCTAAATCAAGTTTGAGTAAAGCCCTAAAAACAACCTCTCCCTGTAATATTTACTTCTGTGTAAATTTGCCCTCCGTTGTGTTTTGTCATAAATGGAGGCAAACCACCATCTCTTGTGTCACTTCCAGGTGTTTTCCTAACTGTCCTTTTCGTCATGACAGGTGTGTGACTGGCTCTACCCTCTCATGTCTGTGAACTCTCCAGTGCTGGAGTGTAACACCGGAGTTTTTATGTTTCCGGACATGATGGCGCCGGCACCGGGTTACTATGTCGGGGTCGTGTTGTCATCTGAGCTCCCGGCAGCAGACCGAGCCTTGTTTAAGAACCTGCTCTCTCAGATGACAGACCTCAGGGTTCAGGTCAGTGTAATGTCTGCATCAATACCATTTGATTATTTAAAAATGTATACATATTTTCAAAATGCATGCACAAATCTGGCAAGGTTGCATTTCTAGATGTGTATCACTAACTTGCTGTCATTTATTCCTGTTGTGCTTCTCGGTGTTGAAAGTCACCAGGGAACATTTACACAATTTGCTTTTAGCAAATCCTCTTGTGCTGCTGGGAGGCACAGAGAGCTATTCTAGGAAAGTGACGCATAACTTGGACACACAACGGGCATTTAAAATGTTCTCATCTCTGTACTTTGAAAGTCAACACTTTGATCACTAGTTACAATTTCTAGCCCAACTCTGAGCTTTGTTTACCATGCATCTGCTCCAGCTCACTGGCAAGCTAAGTGTGTGATGGCAGGGAGGGAAGCACAACCTTAAATGGCTAATCATCCAAGATGCCTCATCAATATACCAGTGAAACCCTGCCAAAAACTGGCCAGCAGTTAAAAGAAGGGTTTTATTGTTGTAATGCTAATAAAGACTTTTTAATTGGGCATAAATATACTTGCAGATTTTTATAATGATGTAAATGAAAAACGGTACCTTTTGACACATGCCTTTTTCATTTTACAAACAACCTTCTTGTTCAAATACAAAAATAAATTTCTAATGTTTTAGTCTTTTTTTTTAACGTATTGGTTCGATAAATAAAACCTGATTGCTGCTAACAACCAACATTTATTTTCATCTTGTTGCCATTTGTTTCTGAAGAGGGAGGGAAGGAGTTTGGTCATGTGACAGTGAGGCTACACAAGATTGATGGGAGTTTAACTGAAGCAGAGGAGCAGTGGTGTCAGCGACGTGGTCATTCCACCCCCCCCCCAAGTTGACGAAAGGATAATGAAATGTATAAGAACATTGGTTACCAGCCATAACGGCAATATTCATATAGGATGGTGACACTGAAGCAAATTTTCATAAACTTCTTCACCACTGTATCCCTGACCTGCCATGTTCCTGGGTTTTTATGACTTTGTCCACTCTGAGGTCTCTACAGAACAGCTGGATTTGTACTGATATTAAATTACTCGCATTCGGACTCTATTTACTAATGAGGTTGTGACTTTTGAAGGCAGTTAATCTCTCTGGATTTTATTTAGGGTTTGGTTATACAAATGTATACCACTGTACAGATTGTATGAGTATGCATTAGTTTATCACATAAAATCCTAATAAACATTAAAGCCTGAGGGTACTTTGGAAGGAACGTCATAAGACTATGAAATATTTGCATTTTTGGCATTTACTTGACTCTTAATGGAAAAGAGCAAAATATTTTTTTGTTGTACTCAGGACATGTAAAGTCTGCTGACCGAAGACGATTCCCAATTTTTCTGTAAATCACGTTAACCTAGCAAGAAACGCCTGGTCCTACTTACTTCTGATCTGGCGTCCCTCCTGAAGTTACCCCTGCCTCAGCAGAGAGGGGATTTGATACTGGCAGGTGAGGAGAATTAATCAGGCATAATGCTCTTATCTGCAGCACTTCAAACAAGCTTAGAGCCTCAGCTGAAAGACAAACGTCAATTCAGTCTTTGTGGAAGGAGAGATGCCGCTTCAGAGTAATGCCAGACAAGGTCGTGTTCCTCGAATGCAGTCAGGGTAGATATCTTCTCTAATGGATGTAGTATCCTGTCAAAGAGTAAGCTTTTTTTATTTTTAGTATAAGCAGAAGACTTGATTTTCAGCTCCAACTTTGCTCTGCCTTTTTTGAAAACGGCTGTCTGTTTGGGGTGGACAGATGGTGCTTTGTGATGAGAACCCTAGAATGAGAGGAGCTGTTGTGTTCTGTGACGCTCTCTGTTTTCTATACTGGATTAACTGGGAGCCAGATTTATTTTTCTTCCAACGAATTGGACTGAAAACAGATTATTTTCATACAGCGTTTGGTCGTTTTTCAGTTGCTTACTAATACATGTGTGTGTTTGGTCAGGCCCCAGATGAAGCTGCAGACTCTGTTAATCTCAGTCAGAAGGTATCCATTGCTGCACCTGAGGAGAGGGAGAGACCACCTGCAGCTGATGAGGCGGCGTCTGCAGAAACCGAGGAGGAGAAATCTTTGCCTGAGTGGAGTGAAAAAGTGGCGAGTGGGATCTTAACTGGTGAGGTCATGTTCTGTCCTTAAATTCCAGCATCTACATACTTTTATTTGTGTGAAATTTCAATGCTCAGAAGTGCATCGAGGCAGACCCTCTTTGATCTCCTTAGGTGCTTCCTGGTTAAGCTGGGGTTTGGTCAAAGGGGCTGAGTACACAGGCAAGGCTATACAGAAAGGGGCGTCTAAGCTCAGGGAACACATCACTCCAGAGGACAAGCCCACCGACGTGAGCCCCACCGTGACCAAAAGCCTCTACGTGGCCAAGCAAGCAACAGGAGGCGCTGTTAAAGTCAGCCAGTTTCTAGGTGACTGACACGACTTCCTGCCCGCATTTTTTTTTTTTTTTTTTTTTTTTACTTGCCTTTGGGGACCGGGGGGGTTTGTGGGGAACCTCTCAATGAGGTGGCCCTTTTCT